AAAAAAAAAAAAAAAAATGTCTAGGGGCTGGGGTTGTGGCTCAGTGGTAGCATGCTCACCTACCATGCATGAGGCACTGGGTTCAATCCTTAACACTAAATAAAAATAAGACAATAAAGTCCATCAATAACGAAAAAAAATATTTTAAAAAAATTCTAAAAAAAAAAAAACATATAAGGTATTATAAAAATGCTTTTTCTAAATATAAAGTTGATTTTTCATTTGCATGTGATTCTGATTCCCTTCTAAATAAATGATAATATTTGCCTGCTTCAAAAAAAAAAAAAAGAAAGAAATTTTGCCTTTTACTACATGTTCAAAAATATTCTAAGAAATAATTTTTTTTTAAATTCAGTGATTAATATTTATTAGGAAATCTTGCAGTACTGAATTTTCTCCACCAGTATATTTAAAAAAATAAATCTAAAAAAATTCAACATGCATATTTCTACTCTAATATCTACTGACTAAACTATCTATTTACACCTTAATACTTCAATAATTTTCCTAAAACAGTAATTTTTCTCCTCCATAAGTCATTGATTGCATCCATACTTGGAAGATATTATTTATGCAATAATATTATTTAATATATAGCCTATATTTAAATTATCCCAATAATTTTTGAATATTATTTCTAGTTTTTCTTTCTACAATTCAGTTAAAGAATGGGCATGAAATGTAATTATGTTTTCCATTTACTCTCTTGTAATCAGGGGTAGTTCCCTTTCCGGCACTTGTTTGTTTCCTTCCGGCACTTGTTTGTTTCCTTTCATAGTGTTCACCTTACCAGAGGAATCCAGGAGAACATTCCTCAGGCTGGTTTTGTGTGGTTGTTTGCCAGGGGTTAGATTCTCATCATGAATTTGGAAATAAAACTACATAAATGCCAATGAAAGTCTCACTGAATCACATGGTGAAGTGGGAACACATCATGTCACTTACTCAATATAGCTTATACTACTTTCCTCAGGAAAGAAGGTGGTATCCAACAGATCTCTCCATTGCAGAGCTTCTGCTCTTATAAGTAAATGATAAACATCTTTGTCATGATCCTTTAAGACCATGAGAATAATATCCTACTTACAAAATCACTCACCTAATGTTGCATCTCACACTAAACACTCAAGGTCACTCCGGGTGAACTGGGCTGCACGAAATAATCACACAGAGACAGAGAAATACCTTTTCCTGTGACAGCTCCTCTGACCTTAGGGGTCCGTGGAAAAAGAGAGAGGAGCACGTGCTGAACTCTTTAATTGGGAAGAAGTCATTCAAATGAGGCAAGGGGTAGGATTACAAAGGAATTGGTGAGTGTAGCTCAACCCCACAGGTAACACCTACACGTGAAAAGCCACCTTGCTAGCTGAGCTGGGACAACGTATAAGTCACCACAAAATGTAGTGATTGGTCAGAGCCTCCTGCTTCAGGACTGGAAAGCATGGTCATTCAGAGCAGTTCCCCACAACCTAACTCTTCTAGTTTTGATTAATATCCTTGCCTGAACTAATATATCCAGACTTGAATTATTATAAAAATGATGATATTCCTAATTTTATATCCCATTTGTTTTTGGAGTTGACTTAACTGTAATAAATAATTCCTATGCATTTTTAGATTAAAACAAATGGACTGCACGGCAGTAATGAACATTTGACAGTGTTCTGTTTGTTATTGGACTTGTAGTCATTCCAGAAGAGGTCTTTGTTAGCTACCTCAGATGGATTTTGGCAAAGTCCTATGAAGAGAGTTCTGGACATTTCATGTGCTGATGAAGACTTTGATTAAGACAATACACATGTGAGTTGTGTGAATACTGATGTGATAAAGTAGAACAGCAGGTGGTGACAGACACCAGTGTCCTAGCTTGATGATAAGGAGAATAGATTCAGAAGTTTAGGCACCAAAAACCCAAGTACAAAATATTTTAAATGATATTGAGAGGACTTCTGAATCTATTCTCCTTATAATCAAATGGTCTGCATATTATTATTTTGCCAGTAAGAATCACAGTGCTTGTCACTGCTCCCAGTTACATGAGAGCATTTACCACTCTCTGCCTTTCTTATTATCCTCAACTGCCATTATCCTCAACTAAAGCCCATTTGTTACATTTTCTCCCTCCCTCCCCCTCCCCCCCTCCTCCTCCCCCTCCTTCTTCTTCTTCTCTCTCCCCTCTCTCTCTCTCTCTCTCTCTCTCTCTCTCTCTCTCTCTCTCTCAAAATGTAACTATGTAACTGTTCTTCTTGGACAAGGTTTCTATAGACAAGAATATTGAGCTCAGTGATTTCCATTGTATCTTTCAGCTCCAGAACATTTTTAAATGATGTGTCTTTGTTTTCTATTTCCAGGGCACAGCCATATGGACATCACTGACATCAGTGCTCTATGACAACAAAGAATTCCCTCACCCAGAGATGTTTGACCCTCACCATTTTCTGGATGAGCATGGCAAATTTAAGAAAAGTGACTACTTCATACCTTTCTCATCAGGTAAAAGAAATTCCCTTTCATGTGTGTTTCAGACCACAAGACAGGCTTTGGGGATCAGTTACATCTCACACATTATCACCACGGGTGTTGGTAGATTTGTTCTTTGTACATGATCAGGAGCACTACTTCAGTGTCCATGCACTCTCCCTGCTCATGACAAATTCCCACTGGTGAAATGGAGTAGTGGGGTTTTGAGGTGTTAACCCAGGTTTTATAAATTGAGAACTCTAAAATATATTTGATTAAACTATATCTCCAGATACATTATTGAGGTACAATAGGTCTCCTTCTATATGGTAAAACTTATTTAACTTTTCTCACCTATCATGTAAAGTTATCTCACTCCAAAATGATATTGGGTGTTTTCTGTATTTTGTTGCTCGCCCTCTAAACCCTCCAATCCAGGCTCAGCTATGGAAATACAAGTTTCCACAAGCACAGAACACACATCAAATGGCCTCACACCCTGTTTTGGAAGCAGATGAATGACCAATTCATTGTAACCTGTGAAATAGGGAAGCACAGATTTCTGGGGCTGGCCAGGCTTACAAGGAAAAGCTGCCTGCAGAAATAAAATGGAATAAGCAACATTCTATCAGCTAAATGACATTGCAGTTGCCTCAGTAGGGACATATAGAATGGACAGAAAAAAATAGCAACACATTTTTAAGGAAAGAATGAACCAGGTAGTCTTTTCAGGAATGTCAGAAACTGCCCAAAAACTATGGAGTCATGGAAAATTGGGGGATGTGGCAGGAACTACTGCAATGATCTCAGAGCACATTGCTCTTCCTACATTCATGATCATGTCTTGAATATTGGATCTCCACACCCATAGTGTGTGTGTCCTGAGTCTCTGATCATGGAATCTTCTTCTTCAATGCCATGACTTTGATGTCTGCCTTATATCTGGCAGTAGACACCATGGTGACCAGATCAGAGACTACTCCTCTACTACTCTACTACTTGTCATTTCAACATGTTAGACAATAAATGAGTAAATAAAAAGTATAATTCCAGGTGATTCGTGCTTCTATGAAATCATAAGTACGATGTTGAGGAAACCCAAAGAGGGCAAGATTTTATTGCTTGAAGGAATCATAGAGAGTATTAAGAAGAAATGAAATTTCATCTGCTTCTTAGGAAAGGAAAGTTGTCTCTTATGCAAGAAGATTAACATGATACACAGCATGAACATCATGTCCTTTGGAGATTTCTGAAAAGTATGCATAGTTAGAGATGGGGATAGAAGGTGTAAAGAATGAGAAGCAAGATCATGGGACTTTATTAGGAAACACACCACTGTGCATGTGTTTCTAGAAAAATATACTTAGAAAATTCAAATGTTAAAGTGCTTGTCATAAGCCTATATTCAGTATATATTGTTTATAGTAAATATTTGTTTAAGATCATAAATGGAGGAGTGTGTTCATCCTTTTTCCATTACCATTAACATTATCTTAACATTCATCAAATGGTCTGCATATTATAATTTTGCCAGTAAGAATCACAGTGCTTGTCACTGCTCCCAGTTACATGAGAGCATTTACCACTCTCTACCTTTCTTATTTTTTAGGAAAACGAAAGTGTATGGGAGAGGCCCTGGCCAACATGGAGCTGTTCTTATTCCTGACTACTATTTTACAGCACTTTCACCTGAAATCTCTGTTTAGCCCAAAAGACCTTGATGTCACCCCAGTTGCCAATGGAATTCAATATCTGCCACCCTCATACCAACTCTGCTTCGTTCCTATCTGAAGAAGAGCAGACCGCAGTTGTGTTCCTATCTTCAACCACCTCTTTTGGGGCATGGGGCATTGTCTATCCACTCCCTTTCTCCTCTCACATCTCTCCAGTCCCTCAGGATTCACAGATCACATATTCTCCTTTCTGGAGAGATTTCTTGGTGACTACAGAAATATATCTGCTCTTCCCTGTGCTACATAACAGTTGTACTGACCACCCCAAGTGCTAACACTGATCCAGTGCTGAGTTATTAATAGGCTACTGTTGTAAAAGAGCAAAGTGATAGGAATATGACCCCTTAGAGCCATGCATCCCTTGCATGTTCTGAATAAAAGTCATCATTAATTTCTACATCAATTCTCAGTCTTTCCTTCTTTTTCTTTTTTATTCATTTTAGTTATACATAATATTAGGATTCATTTTGACATAATTATATAAGCACAAATAAAATTTGCTCTAGTTCAGTGCCCAACACTTCCACTTTTACCCCTTCCTGCCTCCCACTCTTCTTTCTATTTATTTATAGTTTTTTTTTAAGTTAGTGCTTTACAGATATACATAATGGTGAAATTCACCAGGGTAGATCCATTTGTACATAGGGTAGTTTGGTCAATTTCACTCCATCATTCCTCCTGTTACTCATCCTTTCTTCTTTCCTCTAAATCCCCTTTCTTTACTTCACTATATCCCTTCTATTTTCATGGATTTACATACACAAACACCCCACTTTTTCCCATTATTTTGTCCTAGCTTCACATATGAGAAAAAAAATATGCAACACTTGAATTTCTCAGTCTGGCTTATTTCACTTAGCATGAGGCTCTCCATTTTCACCCATTTACAAAAAAAATGCCATAATTTTATTCTCTGTGGCTGAGTAAAATTCCATCATACAAATATAACACTTTTTTCCCATTCATCTACATGAGCATCTGAGCTGGTTCCTTAGTTTAGTTACTGTAATTGGGCTGCTATAAACATTGACGTTGCTGTATCACTATGATATGTTGGTTTTAGTTCTTTTGGATAAATACTAAGGAGTGGGATAGCTGGGTCATGATTATTCCATGCCTAGTTTTTTGAGGACTCCATACTGCTATATTAACAGCCCAACAACAAGATATCAGTGTATACCTTTTCCCCCAAATTCTTGCCAGCATTTATTATTATTTGTATTCTTTATAATTGCCATTCTAACTGGAGTAAGGTGAACTCTTAGTGCAGTTCTGATTTGCATTTCCATGATAGAGTTGTTGGGACATTTTTTGGCCATTGTGTTTCTTTTTTTCAGAGATGTCTGTTTAGTTCTTTTGTCCATTTATTAATTAAATTGTCTTCTTATTATTAAGATTTTTTAGGGGCTGGGGATGTGGCTCAAGCAGTAGCATGCTTGCCTGGCATGCGTGCGGCCTGGGTTCGATCCTCAACACCACATACAAACAAAGATGTTGTGTCCGCCAAAAATTAAAAAAAATAATAAATATTAAAATTCTCTCTCTCTCTCTCTCTCTCTCTCTCTCTCAAAATATTTTTTTAAAAAATATTTTTTAGTTTTTTATATATTCTGGATATTAATTTCCTTTCAGAGGAGTATCTGGCAAAGAATTTTCTCCCATTCTGTAGACCCTCTCTTCATGCTCCTATTTCCCTGTGTTATGGAAAAGTATGGAAATCATGGCACTGGAGAGAGACAAGTGGCACACGGAGATGTAGAAAAGCAAGGTTCATTCAACACTGGTGCGGGCTCAGTGGAGTCTTTTACAAAGATTGAGCATAGCCCTATGTTCTCAGTACCTTTTATATACAGTACAGACTTCCAGGGTTTAAGACTTTTTCATACAAGTACCCTTGATGTTTCCCCCTTTCCCCAGGCTGCTCTGATACCTACCATAGTTACTGAGCAAGATGATTACAGAAGCCGAAACTAGCAGGTTGCAGCTATTAACAGAGATAAAAGGAAACATCTTAGGAAGGAGGTGCTGCTTCATTTGCCCCCTTTTAACACTCAGGATGCATCTGCAGCTTTCATAGAGCATCATTTTTACCACTTGCTGGTATCTTCTCATGAGTAATAGATGAGAGACTCTCTCTTTTTTGACAACTGTTTTTATAAAATTTCTTATAATGTTGATTAGGAGGGGCAGAAAGTGAGGAATAAGTAGACATCCAGCAAATATAACCATAATCACCCCAATTATTGTCTTAATTCCTCTTATCCAAGAGAATCATCCTCTGAAGAGGTTGTCTATGTGGGTCATAGATAGAATATCCATACCCAGAATTTTTTCGAATTCTGTACAGATACATGGACCACTTTTACCATATGATCTGTGATCTTTTCTATAACTTTCCCTGTGTCATCTCTTTGTAAACAATAGTTACTCAAGTTTCCTGCAACTCCCTGGTCTAATCCAGTTTCTCAGATACATAGGTCACATGAAGAGGTAGAATCTGGCAGTGCTGTGAGGGACCAGATTAATAACAACAAGCAATAGCAATAAGTATATATACTGAGACAAAGGAAGGCAGTATGTAAACAGTAAGAAAATATTTGTAGAGAATCAAATCATTCATTTTTTTACCAGGCAGTTAACTCCTTGGTCTTCAGCCATAGGTTGACAGACTGTTAAGGTCGGGTGAGCGTCGGAGGAAGAGACCACCAAGAGACTGTCTCATGCAACAGCAGAGGGTTTATTGGGGGTCCAGCATGCTGGGGCTCAGAGCTCACTTGAGAGGAGCTGAGAGCCCCGAGAACAACTTAAGCAGAGCTTATATACATTGTTTGAACTGGGGAGTTCATGCGGAGGTCAGGGAATGCGGGAGGGGTTGTTTGTACAGAGCAACCAGATGGTCGGGAGACATTTCTCAACATACATTTAACGGTTTTTCCGGGAATTGTTTTGACACCTACATAAATTTCAGGTTTCAGGAAAACAGAACATAAACTCAACCAAGAAAACAAAACTTAACCTTTACATTCTTAACCTTTCGAGACTAGCTTCTGGTGTGGTCACAGCAGGGCTTTGAGATCACTGTCTCCTTCTCTGTAGCATCAGACACAGGGAAGTTTCTAGATTAAGGGCTGTTCTCCATTTCCCTGATCCTCAGTTGGGCCAGCAGGTTTGGCTCTGGAGTGGTGGATCCAAGTGTCCATTTCTGTTCCTTTGAGAGCAGTAGGGGTGGTTAAGAGTACAGTGTGAGTCCCCTTTCACATTGGTTTTAAGGGCTTCTTTTAAGTCTCTTATCCATATTTGGTCCCCAGGTGACCCACTTATGTGTTTTTGAGATGATGATCCCCAGTCTTTGTAGCTTTTTATGTAAACCTAAGTCTCTTAATTATCTGGTGTTTCCCCTTAAGCTGACCAGTCAGGGTGGTCACCCATACAGGATTCTAAATGGCAAAAATCCTATGTTTGCCTGGGGCAAACATCTCATTTTTAAGAGGGTGATGGGCAGCATGTAGTTTCCACTGAATTTTTAAAGCCCTTGTCACCTGTTGTACTCTCTCAGCCACAAATGCTGGTCCATTGTCTGACCCTATGGTTATAGGCATTCCGTATCTGGGAATAACACCCTCAAGAGAACCTTAGTTACCTCTTTTGTCTTTTTAGTTCAGGATGGAAAAGTTTCCACCCATCCTAAGAAACTGCAGACAAAAACTACTAAGTATTTATATCCTTGGTTTAGGGTGCTTCGGTGAAGTTCACTTCTGTATCTTCAAACAGGAACAGTCCACAGTGCTGTCTGTGTTCCTGCCAATTTATTAGATCCCTGGTGAGCATTGTTTTGTAAGCAGGTCGTGTAATGCTGAGAGACAGAGGAGCAGAGTGCAGGGAGACAAGCAGTGAGGTAGAACCAGCCTAGTAAGGTCCCCGAGGCAGTTTTTCCCATGTGGGTTTATAACGAGATGACTAGCACCTGGATAGGATAGGTTCCTGCTAAGGAGGTGTAAGCCGCCTTGGAAATAAAAAGTATAAAATAATCAGTAAGAAATAAAGACAGAGCCAGAAATAAGATTCAAAGAGGAGTGCCTGATGGGTCTTCCAGTCCTGATAGGAGCTGGAAATGAACAGCTGAAAAAAGGCTCCAATTCTTTATGTGGGAGTACATCAAAGGCAGGGGTAAGGTTTCAGCAGGAGGAGTCAGTTCAGTGCTTGCTTCTTCTTGGTTGCTTCTTCCATTTAACTGCAAGGGGTCTTGCAGTAAACAGGTTGATTGGCATTTGGCAAGCCATACCCATCTCTGGGAGGCTATGTGGCTCCAAGGTGTCTTTCCCATCTCTGGGGCTGTGCTAGAAGCTTAGCAGGAGCTAGACAGGAAGCCACATTCTCAAACCAGCGAGGTTCCCACCGGTATTTCACAATACCAGGTTTTCATGACTAATAGTTTCAACATCACTTTAGTCCATGCACATTTCATGGATAGCTCCCAGCATGGGTCAGGTCGCATTGTTGGTGGATCAGTCTGTAAGCTAGTTGTTCGGGAATATACACTTGATGGTCCCTTATGAACCACCATCCTGTTGTGGCCTTGGTTTCCTCCCCACACCTTTTTTTATCCATTTTTCTTCCTCAGGAGAGTACCTGAAAAAAAGTGAGCATTTCTGGGCTAGCAATATTTTGAATTTTTTCAGGCAGCCCGTTTGGTGGCAGTATCAACATGATGCTTTCCTTTTGTCACTGGGTCATCTCCCTTTTGGTGACCCTAATAGGGGACAATTCCACCTCCTTTGGCTCCCATACTACTTCTAGAAGTTCCAAAATTTCGGCTTGGTTCTTTTTTCTTCTTCAGTAAGGAGTCCTCTTTCCTTTTATAAATTTCCACGGACATATAGAGTAGTAAAATGATACTGTGGGTCAATATAGATGTTGGCTTGCCGGTCTTGGCTGAGTTCCAGTGTCCTAATTAATGTCCAAAATTCTGCTCTTTGTGCTGACTGTCCTTGAAGAAGTGCCTCTGTTTCCACTATTTTGGAGTTGAATATTATGGCATAATCGGGCATTCTCATAAAA